ATCAACAGAACTAAGAGACAACCTACAATGTGGGAAAAAATGTTTACCAGCTACTACTCAGACAAAGGACTATTATCTAGAATATATAAAGAGCTCAAAAAAATCAGACCTCCCAAATATAATTTGAGAGAGCTAGCATCTTTATAATGATTGATCTATTTAGGGGTATTATACATTTTATTTACTTCATCTTAAGTTAAAGTTAATATTATTACAGTTACTTTTAAAAATGGACTCTACATCTTTAGTCACACTGATTTCTGGCAGTTTTATTGCTATTTAAATGCTATGGCTCATATGTAATTCTTCATTTGTGGATTTAGTAGAGAAGTTTAACAAACTTTAATGTAGACTTGCCACCTTTACTTTTAAAATTCTATTATTTTTCCTACAGTTTCTTTTGGATTTCATAGAAGCACAATTATGTTATATATAAATAAAATAGAATCATTATTTACTCTTAAAAATCATAATTTTCTTTTCTGTTTAGTGCTGGGGATTGAAGCCATGCCCTGCGCATTCTAGACAAGCAGTGTACCACTGCAGCCCCATAATCATACTTTTCTATTGTTTTCTTGTCTTATTGCATTGGCTGTGTCTTCTAGTGCAATGTCAGCTAAAAGTGATACAACGGCTATGTGTCATTTTTCATCTCAGAATAAGCTTTTTAAGTTTTGGCAATAGGTATAATGCTTCTTTAGAAGGTTTTTTTGTTGTTATTTTGAAGAGCAATATTTTATAACATTAATATAATAGTTTTCTAGTTCTAAGACTTTTTAAAACAAATTAATGTTTTATTTTACCAAATTATTATTATGTGTTTAACATGGCCCTAGAACATAGATGGAAACTTCTGAAATGGGAAAGCCAAGCTAAACCTCTCCTCCTTAAACCTGCAGATGTCCGTGTTTTGTTCCAGATATGTGGAAAGCAACTAAGAGAAGCCATAAGGGAAAGCAGGCTGTCGTTACCCTTAGTTGTCACGTGCTCCACAGGTTTTAGCAGACAGAATACGCTGGCCTCGAAAAATGACTGCAGTTCTCACCCTTTCCCCAGAAGAATTTGTAATGTGGGTGATGGTTCTTTCTTAAACATTGGAAGAGTTCCACTTGGAGCCATGTGGGTCCAAATTTTATTTGCAGCATGAATTTTAATTAGGGATTCATTTTTTAAGATATGAATAGGCTTGCTCAGATTTTATACTTTTATGTCCATACGCTCTTTTTTAAAAGGAAGTTATTTTTATATAAATTTCTAAATGTACTGGTATAAACATTTTCTTTTTTTATTGTTATAGGACCTTTATTATGTCCTTCCCCAATACTGGTGATTTTTGGATATTCTCCCCACATTGGCCTTGCCCTGATTTTTAAATTTTATTAGTCTCTTTAACAATGAAAAAAACTTTTCAATATCTTTTCTATTTTATTTTTATTCCAGACCATATTATTTTATTTCATCTACTTTCTTGTAAATTAATTTGCTATTTCCAAAGTTTCTTCTGATACTTATATTATTGATTTCCTTTCCTTTTTTTCCTTTCAGATACATGAAAATAAAGCTATAAATTTCCCTCTATTTTCTGTTATTTCACAAAAGTATGCCATGTTTTATTATTTCTTAGTTCAAAATATTTTGGAATTTTAACCAGGTGCAGTGGCTCTTACTTGCAATCCCAGCACTTTGGGAGGCTAAGGCAGGAGGATCACAAGTTTGAGTCTTGCCTGGGCAATTTAGTGACTTAGCAAGACTCTGTCTCAAACAATGTTTTAAAAATTAAAAAGGACTGGGTATCTAGCTTAGTGTAATCCCTTGTACAAAAAGCTTTCTTTCCATTATTGTCTATAATTTTACTTAAGATTCCTATGTCCTCATGTTTTGGATTAATACCTTCTTTGAGCCCCATAAAATTTAAGATTTTTTCATTCTTTTGGTTTTAAATAGCTTTACATAGTGTATCATTAGGTAACTCTTCTTGTGTCCATCCTGTTCTGGTTTTCCAGAACTTTTAAGTGGTGCCTTCCTGTTTTTCAGCACTTTTGCAAAGTCTGGATCTTGCATTTCTTTGGTGTGCTCTGGAACAGCCCGGGTTGTTTACCGCAGGGAATATTTGAGAAACACATCAGGCAGCTCCATCACCGAGCACACCATAGGAAGTCCGCACAGACCGACGGTGCGGCCTTGAACACCAGGCTGCGTCCTGTATGCTGCTGCCCACAGAACCGATGCTGTGTGGTGCAAGGCTGTACAGTTTCTTCCTCCTCCTTCTCTAGTGCTTAATTCTTTGCACATTAGACCTTTGTTCCTGGTCCCATATACCCCAAGTCTATTCCCCCCCTGTATTTCTTATTTTCTGTCTCTACACTCTTTTCTTCTCAAGCTATTTTCCAGTTACTGTTGCACCACTTGTGTCCATTAAACCCATCCATTTCATGCCTCATTTTGTTTCATTCTAGTTCTGTAGTTTTCCATTTCAGTCTTCTTAGAGACACAATCTTCTGTTGACATTATCCAGCATTTTACAGCATACATCAAAGACTCTGTCTGGCTCTAGCCATCTGGGTCCTGCTGTCTCACAGCCTCTCACGTTTTCCGGCTATTGCATATTGGCTATGAGAAATTGTGGACCTACTGTCGATCATTTCCTCCGGAGAGGTTTAAATTTTTCCTTGCAGACAGAATTCAGGAAAAGCACCTCGATCTAGGCAAGGTTGGGCTTCCGGCTGTTCGGTTTCGAGTTTGGCTGATCTATTTCTGGTTTGGGTAGTGTATTTGTGGTTTGCCATTATTTCTCCAGCAGTAACCAGCAGGGAACTCACCTGGGGGCCTCCAGTGTTTAAAATGTTCATTCTTCCAAGACCTACTTCTAATTTGTGCCTCTGTGACACGGTAACACTGCTGAAGTCTCCACCCAGTATTGAATCTCTTCATGCCCGCTGTCTTCTTCATGTTTTCTGCCCCCGTCTCCGCACGCAGGCAGATCAGGAACCAGAAAGTGCCTCAAGGGAGAGTGCACGTGGTGTGCTGTGCTCCTGCCTCTGTAGATCCTGCCTTTCTGGGATCTTGGTCCCACAAGTCCAGGCAGCCTCTGTGACTCTGGACATCGGTGTTGTTGCTCCAGCCCCGAGTGGCTGCTGTGAGCGGGAGCTGAGTCGCCGCTGGCCTCCAACAGTGTTGCTTCTGCAGACTGGCAAAGCAGCAAGGCTGGGGAGCCGGAGAGCTGCAGCTGCCGAGACTCTGCGCAGCATCTCCGCTCCACAGGGACCCTAACTTCTCAGCTCCTGGTGGCCCTGCTCGTTGTTTCATGCTGTTAATTATATTCAGCGTTTGTAACTGGTCTTCAGTGAGCATATCAGGAAGTCTGGACAGAGCCAGAAGCAGGTGTCTGCAAAATAGCTTCTCCGTTTCACTTCCCCATTCTGAGTCCGCGCACTACTGACTGCTCAGCTCATTTCTCTTTCCTAATCCTCCGACCCTCATGTATATTTAGCTGACAGTCTGGAAATTCTATCCTCAGAACTCCTCTCCCAGCCATCTCTCCTCATCATTTATATTTCCACCCACACTGTGTTAGCACTGCAGCCCTGGGGGTGGAGCCCAGAGTCTTGCTCTGAGCTACACACCCAGCTTCAGTTATCTGAAATATTTTGATTGACAAATTTGTATGTACTCACTCTGTACTACTTGTTCCGAGATATGGACACACTATGGAATGGTTAAATGGAGTTAGTATGTGTTACCTACTTAGGACTTTTTGTAGTAAGAACACATAATCAATTCTTAGCAATTTTTAAGACTGCGATACACTTTTGCTAACTGGTTGTCGCGATACCACAGGTCTCTGGGATTCTTGTACCGTTTGGCCAGTCAGCCCTTCCCTTTACAGCTCAATGCTTATCTCGTCCCCTGGTCCATTTTCATCCTGCACATGTGCACGAGGAAAGTCACGAGACTCTGTTGGTGTGTCGGTCCCACGCCGCTCCTGACCTCCTGAACACTGATGCTTTGTCTCTGCGCTGCCCAGGGCTGAGTGAACATAGTGTGGCTGTCACAGCATCTGTTCAGAATAATCTGGCTCAGAGCTACTTTTCCTATATCACTTTCTTCTGGTTGTGCAAAACTACCTTAGACCCCACCAGACAAACACTAGTTCCTATGGATCACAGCCCGCATGTTCAGAATCACATTCCATATTCATACCCACAACTTTCATTTCTTCCCTAACACTTTCCTTCTTTTCTCTTCTCTCTTGCCCAGAGCTGAACAATGTTTTGATGTCAGATGCTGCCGCACCTGTGAGCACTGTGTGGCGTCCTCGGGTGACGTCTCTCTGCCGCGAGCCCTGCTGACTATTTTGCTTGTTCCTGATGTTCATAGCCGGGTCACTTCGTCCAGCTTCATCCTGATCTTCGTCCTTATCAACCGTGCGGAGTCCATGCCCCTTCCAGGGAGGTCTTGGCTTCGGGCACTGTCACCCCACCACACCGGCCAGGCTGCTGTGTGGGAGGCCCTTCCACGGTAGAGGGGACTCGACACACACCAAACACAGACCTCACAGGTGTGATTGTGTGGCACAGGTGTGTTCAGGGAGGCGAGTTTATGAAAGAAAGTGCTCTGGTTAAATGATGACTGCTATCTCAGAAACACAAATTTCCAAGGCAGCGAGAGGCTCAAGGGAAAGGGACGGTCTAGTCGCATGGGCCAGCACCAAAGTTCCTCACCGACACAAGCCAACGCTGTGTCATGCGAGCCCCTCTTCAGGACACAGACTCATGCCGTGAGCCGCATGCTCTGCTGCACTTCCTCTCTTTGGTTTGAACACCCAAGAAAGGCAGCCCCCCGAGCGTGGCTCTGAGCGACAGGCGGAGCCCGGAGCGCGAGCTTCACGATGCAAATGTGTGGGACCCCGCCAAGGCGGGGGGCGAGGGGTCAGTGCCGCGCGGGCAGCGGCGGCCTCACAAAGCCGAACTGAGGAGAAACGGGGTGGGACCACTACTCACAGGGAGTACTCGGGGACCGCATCCTTGAAGGCAGGGAGGTCGCGCACGTACTCGTTATAGAACCACTTCACTGTGAAATGCAAATTCATGTACTCGGTGCTCTTGCAGAACCGCTGCCTCTGGTGTTCTGTAACAGAGGAAACCGAGCAATGAGCAGAGTCCGCCTGGCAGCAGCACCTCTATTCCAATCTGCCTGCACCGGCAGTGCCGCTACAGAAACGGCGCGGAGGGGCACAGGCAAAGGGAAGTGCTACAGGCAGACCTGACAGGTCACAAAAACCTGTTAGAACCCCAGCTCCCGCCCGGCGGCGCTGTGGAGCGACCGTGTGCCTCAGTGTGTCTTCCCGAAGAGGCTGGGCGTTTGGGTGTAGCCAGAGTGAGGCACCCTGACAGTCCCTGTCCTCAGCAAGCTCACGTCGTCCACCCTTAGCCTGACGTGAGCGGAAGAATTACGCTGTTTAGCATGGATAAAACAGGACTCAAACTAGGGGAACCACCAACAGACACAGGGATGAAGCAGGTGAGTCACTTCTCTAGCCTCGTCATTTCCCTTAAGGAGTGAAGAGAGTTGAAAAGGAAGCCAGGAGTGCTGGGGTGTGCACTCTGGAAGCCGAGCAAGGGAGGCGGCCCAGGCTACAGAGTGAGTCAAGGAGAGCCGAGCTGCAGAGAAAGACCCTGCCTCAAAAAAAAAAAAAGTTGAAAAGGAGCATGCTGGCTTCCCAAAACCTGACTGCAGAGGGACTTAAACCCCAATGGTATACAAAGGGCAGGATGCCCCAAAGCAACCATCTTCGACTTATATATCTGAACAGTAATGAACTCAAGGCAATTTGTCAGGGGAGGCAGGGGAAGAGAGAAACAGAAACAAGTGTTCACGGAGAAGCAAAATATAGACATGAAAGTGATCAACTCAGCTCTCCCACTAACCAGGACACAGACTATGAGGAAGATGCTCCATTTCAGGTGCCCCAAATTCATGCCACTGTCAAGGAGGACTTCAGGACCTCCGTCTCACCCTTCAGGTGACCACAGGCCCTTGGCTCCTCAGGAGGAAATCCTTGTCAGGTCTGCAGGCAGCAACACAGAGCTCAGGGTCTCAGCTCCTCATGCCGCCCCTGCCTCTGGGACCCCACATCGGCGCTGGGCCAGAGCCCAATATCCCCATCTTCCCTGGCCCCCGTCATGGCGCTGGCTGAGCCCACGCTGGGGAAAGCACACCGGCTCTGAGAGGGAGCAGCCAGAAAGGACAGGGGTGGGCTGTGGGAGAGCCGCGCCCTTCCGTCTTCCTGCCAGCCTGGCGGTTACCACCATGCAGGGCTAGCAGAGTGAGCCGTTACTGTGTCACTCACACCGTGCATACTTCAAATAAACTGTAATTAGGTCCTACGCACTACCAAATTTTAGTGTAAGAGACTATAATATCAGACTCAAAATATACTGGAAATGACTTTGATTTTCCCTCAAATTATTTCTGCTCAATGGTAGACCATGCTGATGAAATGGTATTAAACTCTGAGATATGAATGACTCCCAGAATTTATGTAGCCATCAATCCTCTAAAGTTTTAATGTTGGCAATAAAGATTCAAGTAGCTGGTTACAGTCACAAAATGAAGCATTTAATTAGCTTTCTAAATGGCAGTATACTAATTCTGTACAAAATTTAGTCTGAATTTTAGTGACAAATATGAATATTTTAGTAGCACAATAAAAATTACTTTCTTAAATTTATACAAGGAAAACACTTGGCAATTTAGAGGAATGCCACTGTTTTTTTAGTAGATAGTGCCTATTACCTTTTGCGTGGAAAGAAATGTGCTTTTTCCAGGTCACTATTTGTGCAAGGGGCTTCACGGGTGCTATAGAAACATATAATCATGGGCCAGCCGGTGTGGCGGGCAGGTGCAGTGCCAGAGACATCTGTGACACCTCAGTCTGTGACCGGCTTTGTCCCGGAGTCCACAGCGCACAGCGTTTCCAGCTACACCTAGGCATCCTGCTGGGTGTGGGCAGCAGGCCCCTCCAGCAGTGGACACACGGAGCTCTGCCACTCCCATCGCTGACGAGGCCCGGGGTGCAGTGTGTTCAGACACTTCACACACATGAACACACAGCATTGCTACCCAGAGACCTGGCTCCTACAATGAAAATGTGCCAGGTTACTGCAGACACCACACACACACACACACACACACACACATCTACCCCACATTCTGTGCATTCACAGGGACTGAGAAGTCAGTGCTTAGGAAAAAAGATTAATGTAAGGAAGAAGTCACAGGGCGTGTGGAGTTCTGCTCTGAATGTTAAAATGCCCGGCTCCTGAGGTTCACAGGGGCTAACTAGGGGGTCCTGCCCACCTCAGCCGTGCCCACAGACACCAGTGTGGGCGTAGGTTTTTAATGCTAAAACACGGGCCAGAGGGATAAGAGGAATGAAGCTGTGTGTGTGTGTGTGTGTGTGTGTGTGTGTGTGTCCGTGCATGCGTGCGTACAACTGCAGGTAACAAAATATTGTCCTGGATAACATTTAGGCTGAAAGAAACCACAAATACAGAGATAAAATCTACAATATAATCTATACCCTGATAACAAAATTTTACTTAAGTGGAAAATATTTTGAGAAGACTATATACAGCAATTATTTCAAAAATTAAAATCTACATTTTATAGCAATCTAGATAAAACAGTATGCATTGTATGGAATTAGGTAGTCTTCACTATACAGAAGGCCAGTGTCTCACAGCAAGGACACGGGTGGGTGGAGGCAGCTCAAATCATGGGCTGGGCCCGGCCCCGTGTGACCTTGAGTGACCCTTGCCGCCATGCTGCTGTATGCAGAGGGACAGAGAGAGACCCCGGCCCCTCTGGGACCCGGCACGACCCCTCCTAGGAACCTGCATCCCCAGGGGAGCGGCCGGATCTCTGGGGAAGAAGGGCTGCAGCCTGAACAACCCAACCCATCAGAGCCAGGCGACACGCTATGACTCTGGGGTTTTATGACAAAACACCAAATGTTTTAGAATTACGAGTTTTATAACATTTGGAGCATCTGTTGAGTGAGCTCTTCGCAGCTCATGTAAGAGATGCAACAACAATATTTAGATGCTACTGAATATGTATGTCAGGTCTGCCAGCTGGAGACCAATTGGTGACTGAAATAGCAGCGGCAGGGTCAGGCCAACTAGAGACGCGCACAGGCCCTGCGACCCACTGGCCAGTGAGAGCAGCTGCCCAGGGCCTGACCGCAGAGCGAGGAAGAAAGGTTCATCACCCGGTGCCCAAGGAGCTGGCGAGCGCCCCCAGGCGGCAGATCTTCTCAGTGCAGGCCACGGCCAGAGAGACGCGACTTCCCAGCTTCCAGCATCAGCACTGAACACTAATGATGTTGGTAATCTAAAAGAAAGTGTCTTGTTATCCATCGGTCCCTTTAAAAGTTTTTCTTTTAAGTAGACCTTTCCGGCCCTTTTCAACTGGTTAACTCCTGCTTGTTCTTGAAATCTCAGCTCAAAAATATGTTAGGAACGTTTTTAAATGCACAGTAAAGAGCATCTCACACCTCCAGAATGTTTTCTTGGTAGACCTTCAAATCTGTACCTCACCCAATGGCTGCTTGATGCTGAGTGGTGTTACAGTTATGCAGAACCCATGCTCTTGCTTCCCTGGGGCTGTTCTAACCGCATATGTACTGGCCCACTTTCCTTATCAGGCCATATGTCCTGTTATTATGCATAAAAGATACAGTCAGTCACCTACCTACAGGATGTCCCGGATTCTGGGAAACGCTGCTTGCCAGAGAAGTAACCCACAGAATATGAAACTAACAGCCTTCAAAATTACTTCCTCGTCTGCAATCAACTCCTATTACACAGACCTCAGCACATATCCGAGTGCACGCACGTCTGTTTCATAGGTGGCAGATCAGGTAAGAGTGGTGAAACATAAAAATTCATGTCATCAAACTTCAGAGTTTAAAGATAAGAAACCAGTTGGACACACGATTTCACGCATGGTCCATGCTACCGGGATGTGGTTGGATCTGAGATGCTGAATTCACAGCCTACAGAGCAGCGACTCTGCAAGTCCACAGAAACAGAGCAGCTGGGAGGGTCAGGGCTTCTGCAGCAGCAGAGGAGAAGAGGCTGGGCTGGTCCTCCAAACAGCCACTGCACATTTGCAAAGAGCTAGGACCTGACTGCCTCAATTACAGCAAAAGATGTGAGCTGAATGGAGTCAGGGTTCCCACCCTCCTGGACTTTGGAATCTCACAAAACCACAGTCACCAAGCCAGATCTGGACACGGCCCTCAGGCCTCAGACTCCTCCCAGGCAGCCAGAGGCCACTGACTCCACCTACGGAAAAAGCAGGAGGCAGCTGGCTGACCACCCACCTGGGGCAAGCACTCTCAGCCGATCCCTCTGGGAGGAAGCACAGCGTGGGTCCCCGCATCTGAGGGTCCCTTGGGAAGGCCTGGATCACACAGGTGATGCCTGCCCACATCCCAGCTGCTCCTTAGGGCCACGAGCCTGTGAAAGTCACCAACGCCATCCACCGCCCAGCAGGCTGCTCCGCACGGGATTCCCGAGGCATTGTCCAGCATCCACAGCCTCCTGGGTTCCTTCTTCCACAAAGTGGGAGGGAAATAAATGGGCTTCGATCCCTGTCAAGCACTTCTGCTCAGTTTGTGCAAATTTCAACTTTAAAACTTAGACTTACAAAGCAATGGCACAGAGCACGCGTGTGACAGGTCAGGCACCTCTTCCTTTAAGGATGTTTAGTACTGATTTACCTTGTGGGACACTGAGAAGCCCAATAAGCGAATGAACACAAGCAATTAGCTTATTTTAAAGATGTCCGAACTTATAGACCAAAGGTAGAATTCAACACGAGAAAAGCAGGCAATGATTAGTAAGAATAAAATTTTAGTTCTTTCCACTTGCCCAAGTTATCTGAAACCCTTGATAGCTGTTCCCCCCATTGGATTTGCTTATCAAACGCTAACCAAAGTGTGGATGACATTATCAGAAAAAAGTGAAAAGCTTTACCACCCTGAATGGAATAAAGGTCGATAAGCCACAATTCCTAAGAGAAGAATGAACACTTTATTTTCCTTATTCACAAAAAGGTGA